GCTTCTCATGGAAAACTCAATTGCTCATGTCAGCATGGACTACTTACTCAAGTCGGAGTGGTTTCACTGGGTTTCAGTATTGGTTTTAAGATAGGCAGAAGATTCCACAGTCACACGAGAAACAAAGTGGCCAAATTTTTACAGTTTTGTATGCAAAAAGGGGAACAGCATAGTCACTAATGCCATATAGATTTGCACATGCATCTGAAATTTTTTATGGTATTAGTACAGTAACTACTATTACCACTATTATTTGTAGTGACATCCTTCCAAACCATTTGTTAGAAAAAAGCCCAAGAAACTCATATCATAAAGGAAAAGACTGTCTGTGTTCCTATGCATACCTGAAAATTCAAAATATTTGACTGTTTAAAATTACTTCTGAAGAATGGACATTATAATATTCTAGATGTTTACAAATATTTTGGCTAACATTTTCCAGTTGGGGTGACCAGAGCTCAGAGATTTCTGTGCAAGGCAGGCTCACTAGCTGGACCTTTGTTTCCTGCTAGCACAAGGCAATAACGCTAAACTCTGAAGATCAGCTACAAGCCATAACCAGTAAAGGGACCTTCTATCCTTCCTGTATAGCTGAGAGAAACTTGGATGGAGCCTCTCTGCACTTCTGTGGTTCCCAGATGCCTTCCTGACCTGGCTGAGCTGGCAGCAGCAGCAGATGATGCAGCCAGCAGCTTTCAGACTTCTCCAACGGTCCTTTTATGCCTTCATGCTCATATACACTGACACACTGGCTATGAACCCTGCTTAAAAGGGAGCCTGATATGGTGAGTACTCATAACAGAAGTGGTGGTAAGTTGATTACACACAAAAACAGTTTGCAAAGCCACATCCCTTTTCCTCAAGGAGAAAGTTGCACATTTGACTCAATTTTCATTGACTTCAGTATCAGTGATGATCAAGTGGAAAACCAAAACCTTATTATGCAGGTACCTAAAAAAAAGGCATCTTCATCTGCAAATACTGACTTCACTTTATTCTGTCCAAATAATCAGACTTACTGTCATTTCAGGGGAAAATTACCTCTATAGAGGATTTTTCACATGAATATATATATATATAAAAATTTTTTTTCTTTACTACTAAGGATTTAATTGTATGGTTCAGAATATGGGTGCTGTGAAAGCACCCATCTGCGTCAGTGGAGATATTTCCTTTGATGCTCTAAAGCTCAGTGAAATATTGACAACAGCCCAAAAGCTACACAAAATTAATCTTCAGTTTCCAACACAGTATTGGAATTCTTGCTATATTCACTGAAAAGGTCATCAAAGATCACAAATTTAGATGTACTTGAGAACCTATGAAGTTTTTTTCATCAAAACCCATGTCCAAGTACTCCCAGTTATAGCAGAAGTGACATTTCACTTCAGAAGAATGTTTTCACATTGTTCTGTCCTAGTCACAATTAGTACCTCATTTTAACAGCTGTTAGCGGTGGATACATGAATAATTCTACCAGCCACAAAATAATAGGCTATTTTTGAGGTGGACAATGTAAGAAAGATATAATAGGTATTTTTACAATAGGTATATTGTTATGCTGGCACTAAGTTGTGCCTATTCATATGTCTTCCTATATGATTTAGTAATCCATAACAATTAATAACTGCAAAGGATCCTAAGTCATACAAAGGTTGATTAGAGATACAGGCCTCATCAATCTCTAAAAAATGATGCCCAGGGCTTGGGTGAGGTCCATGTCCACACTGGATCCGCATTTTGCAGCAACTGCTCTCACTAGAGAGGATGAAATACTGGATTTGAAAATGCTGAAAAGTTTGGGGTATTTGGCTTCCTAATCACAATCCAAATTATAAAAATGGGGCCAATCTTTAGATAAGGACAAAGGAAGAAAAGGACTGGTAAAGGAGAAAGAAAATCAATAAGATAGATTTTTCTAAGCAGACTACCGGAGTTTTCCATGAGGTATTCTTTAACATATAGCTGTGTAGAACTTCAAATTAAAAAAAGTTTCTAAAGACATACAATTAAATGCAGGGGGTTGAATATTGTAGAAAACAGCTATGGTTTTGTTGGATTTAATCCATTTAAATTTAATCCTGATTCAGTGTAAAACAGTAAAATACAAAATATAAAAAATAAAATAATAGGGAATTATAATGGAAAAGCCAGCTCAACCTTAACTATAGCAGTAATAGGAACATTACCAGAATACAACAATTATTAGCAATACATCAATAGGTATATATAATAGATACATCCAGGGCTTGATATCTGTGGTAGACCAGTTGCTCAAGGCCACTAAAATATCAATTTACATCCAACACCAGCTAAATGTGCAAGAACTTCAAATGAGTAACAACGGAAATTTCTGTGCACCGTGCAGAATACACAGGCTGAAGTAAACCTTCGACTTTGGAGCATATTGTTAGTCTGCCCTTTATCAGTGGAAAGAGCAGAAACTTCTACATGTACCCTGGAGGTATGTGGTTTAGTCTGTGGTGCTGAAACAGAAAAGTCATCAAAGACAATCTTGAATAAAGTTGCAAAGGGATAGACCATATACACACACTTCTTTTCTCTGAAATCCTCAAAGCAATTAATGTTTGAGTGCTTGGTTTTCTGCATGCTCTTTGGATGTCATAATTTTGGGCTTCATTACACGGTAGACTTTATATTAAAGAACAATTGGCTTGCTTTTTTATTATAACAAATCTGCATGTGATTTTGTTTGGTAGAAATTAAAAAAATGACACTACATACTGGCATTGAGGTTGAGTTTGGTCAACCACATAAAATAATACTTTGCACTTTTAAATGCCTTTCATCAGAGGATATTCAAGTGCCTTGCTAACATTAGTCAAGCCTCACAACACCCCTGTGAGGTAGGTAAAATACATAGGAGGAGGAGGACTTCACTCAACTTGGACATGATAATGTCTCTGGGCACTAGGTTCACCAGCATTGCAACCTAGCACAAAGGTTTAGGGCTTACTATAAGGCAAAAAGTTAACAGTACAAGAGCACAGGATTCCCTCTTCTTTTGGTTATACGTGGTCAAGCCAACATGCGGTGCTAAACAGCACCAAACAGTGGAGCAAATGCCCACACAAGCATTTCATGCACCCAATCCACAAACAACACCCTCTGCGTGGTAAAAGACAGAAAATGACAGGCTCAAGATGGGTACGACAGCTTAGTTACAGGATGTGTCTACCAGTTCTTGAGGAGTAGAGTACCATGGGAATGAGAGCCCAGAAAACAATACCATCTCCACACAACTCTGACAACATCTGAAGATGCTTGGGTCTGGTTCTTTTTGAACTAACGTTTCAATTCACAAATTACTGGGGATAAGCAACTGCAACTGTAAAGCATGATGGTAACTGCCACACCCTGTGAAGGAAACAACCAGATAAAATGGTTGTTCTCTACTTTGGCTGGCCACATATTCCCAATGTACAGGGCCATGATGTGGTCAGATGGTTGTGATAGGCTGGGATGGGATAAAGAAACACTGCCATGCACCTACATTCCCCCTCTGAAGCTGTTGCAATCTGCCTCCTGAAAACTCTCTGTAGTCTTGCGGGTTTTTTTTTTCTCCATGGTGCAAACATGGGAGAGTACTTTGGCCCCCCTCAGTTTTATCCTCAACACTTATCAGCCATGGTGCAGACGGTCATTGTACAAGTAGCAGTTCCACTGTAACACTGATCTTTCAGATTAAGAATTGAGAAAAAAGAAACAAACATGACTAAGAAAAGTGTCACTCAACTAGAACAGTCTATGTGAAATACAAGGAAACAGAAAGAAAACCATGTTCTTGGTATTAACCAGTACAAATATACACACACCCCCCCCCTTCTTTCTCCATATTTCACTTCTCTAAGTTGGCATATCCCATTTCTAAGTTCATATATCCCATATTTGTAAAAGTATTGTCCACATGGGGAACCTGACCTGTCTATTATAATAAATTGCTACAGCAGCTGGTCTACCATACGCAAGACAGCCCTCTCGGTTAATTTTATGTCCTTGCATGCAAGACATTCTCCCTATTTGCTAATTGCCATTTGAAACTTGATTTATAATACTTGTGCACTATCAGCTTCATAACTTACTACAGCACAGGTTGAGTGACCCATCGTGAATACCACTGCACTGTAAAATTGCTGAGAAGAGGTGGTTCACGGATTCTGTGCCATCAGCGCAAAGCTCCCCTCAAACACTGCATTTATACACAGTTAAAACTACACTCTTCTACTGATCAGCAGTGAAAAAATTTATGTAATTTTAATGCATGGATCATGTCCTTCTCTCTCATTCTCATTTTTTTCGCTCTCTCCCTCCCCCTCCTTTCTGTCCTCAATCTCTATGCTGCTTATTTAAATATGGGAATACAGAGACTGCAGATACAACAACTGGCAACTCAAGAAATGAGCTGGCATCTTTGTAATCATTAAGAGACCATCTGAGTGGTAGACTACTTAGCAGCTAGCAGGAAAGCTGACTTTACATCTCATACTGCCCCAAGTTGGAAGCCTTCTGCATTTCCTTTTCCTTTCCTTCCTTTTCTTCATTGCAACACTGATTGTCATAGATAGTCTTTGTGCTTTGTATAATGCCCATCTTTGATGTAACTGGAACTCACATACAAAATGTGGCTGTTATACATAAGCATGCTAGAATACAGGCAGGGACAGTACAAGCATGCACAAAATAGTTTTTGAAGGGTTTTTTGTCTGTTTTCTTCAACATTTACATGCACCACTTAGTATCATGTTTGGCTGTGTACACTGAGGACTGGATTTCACAAGCATTCATGTTCTTCTCCTCTGAAAAGCTTCTTGACAATTTCACAAGAGCCCAACGTAAAAAAAAAAAATCCTATGATTAGAAAAAAAAAAAAAAAGGAAAAAATCCTTCTCCCTTCGATCCGATCTTGTTTTCATTTTAATGCTGAACACTTCAGAATGTCTTGCAGAGCATCATGTTAAATTGTTGTCTGGAAAGACAGATCAGTGTGTCACGGATTTTCGTAGCCACTGGAATAGTTCTTCCTTATAAAGCCTTTGCCACTGCACATTGGCTTCCACTGTTTCCACTGCACGAGAGAAAGAGGCAGCAGCTCCCTCTTCATAACTCTTTATAAAGTTCTTTAGCTGGAAATACAATTTAACAGGTTAAATTTTCAGGAACTAAAGAAAGTAAATATTTCCAGTGCACACAAATAAGTCAGGCATTCAGGACAACCCTCCATGATCACTGTTGAAGTAAATGCAATATCGTGTAGAAAGATTTAATAGGAAATGTAATAAGACAGCAGACTGTCAATTATATGTGATGCAATTGCTTCAAATTGCACTGGAAGATATTGACATGTCAATGCCGGATCACATTAATATCATTACCTCCTTCTCTCCTGTAGCCCAGCTGCTGCACTGCACAGAGCTGGGCTGCTCTAAACTTTTATTTATACCTAAGAAACCACACTGGGAGCACTGGAAATGCTTCTAATTCAGGTTTATATAAAAATATCAGCAGAAGGCAGCCCTGATGCCCTTCTGTTTCATCAGCCTTCATAACAAATTTATTCCATTTTTACTTGCAGAACTCTTTTGATGATACAGGTTGGTTGTTTAGAAAAGCAAGGGATGAAGAGTGATGAAGTGATGAAGCAAGTGATGAAGTAGTGTGAAAAGAATGGCAGAAAAGCAAGTGGGCACTCATTCGACAATCTTTGAATTCCTGAAACAGATTCCTTCCTTTATGAGAAACCTTTGATCTTTTTTCAGCAGACTGGAAAGGCCCCTGCTCTGTTCTTGTGTATACTCAAACTATGGCACTATCACCTGGGTTATTATATCTGATGGCACTGGTGTGCTTTGAATTACTGTTCTTTTTAAGTGAGAACTGGAAGGCTGATCTGCACAGTAGGTTGCTGGGTATGTTGACTTGTATAAAATTAGGTGCGTTTAGCAACACTTATTCATAACTAGTTAATTTTTGTTTCCTGGTGACACCAAATTCACCTTGTTTATTTACATCTAACTTCCAACAACATCTCTTTGTGCATGGACTCAAAACTGAAAAGGCTGACCTTGCACCTATCTCTTTCCCATCACAGTTAAAAGCATGTGAGGGACCTAGAAACAGTTGAAATCAGTCCTTACCTGATCTCTGTACTTTTTATAACAAAATGTTTACATGGCCTGTTTCTTTTAGAGGAAGTATAAAAATTCAGACAGTCAATGTTATCACGGAGGTGGAAACTAAGAGTACAGAAGGCTTCCTTGAGCAATGCAGATACTCAAATCTGGCCAGCACTGTCCTTTCCACCTGGGTAGCTTTGAGGAAACCAGCTGCAGCTCTTCTCAAGTTCCTGAGGCCACTAGACTTGAGTGCAGACAAATGGTTGGGCACAAAATATCACAGCACAATCAGAGTTCAATTAATGGTGATTATGCTGCATAAGAACGATTTGATCCATTTGGGGTAATGTCGAGCAGCTGCTAAGCAGAGCATAACACAACCATACAACTACCTCAGTCAGGGTAGATGTTAAGTTAAAATGAGAAATCTTTGCAATTTAAATAAGAAGTACTTAGCATTTAGAACAAATTATTGTGATGTCATTTGGCCAGAATACCAGGCTAACAGCTTTTCTCACATGGAAATACTGTAGGCAAAAGAAAAACCGAGAAGGCACTGGCAGCTTCTGCTTTCGACATGGGTTTTTTTAGGGCTGCCCTCTGCAGCATAAACTAATGTGGACAGTAAGATCTCATCTTTAGTTTCTCAACCAATAGTCAAAAGAAAAAACCCAAACCTACATATCCAGACAAGCACAGAGAAGTGCTTGCACCACCCACCTCCTAACACCATCTCTAACCATTCTGGTGCTTTGGCAATCTGTTTCCCATCCTCGCACTGCCCAACTGCAGCACGGGCCTGTGACTCCAGCTGAGCAACCAGAGTTCCCGGACAACCAACAGCTTACTGCTCCTGCCCTGCTCCCGGCTTGCAACAAAGAAAGCTTCATGTGATGATAGTCTTTTAAAAATTACCTCTCTTAGTTCTTCTTCTGTATTGAGGAATTCTGTGACCCCACTGATAAGCTTTGAATTCATAAATAATGCTTCTCCATACCTGCAAGGGTAAAAAAGAAGCACAGAGAGTTAGTGCAAGTGCCAGGCCAGCTCAAAATCAGCAAGTAGTCTTTTGTAAGTAAGGGAGAAGAGCTGGGATCTAAGGGAATAGCACTGGAACTGGACATTGGTATCCTGGTGTTTCATGCTAAAAACCTAGACTGAGACCTTCTTCTAGGCTGAGCTATCAGTAGTTAATTTTTAGTTGGATGCTACTAAGCAGAATGGGCTTAACCACAGCCACAGATGAGAGCTCCACAGGAGGAGAGGAGCAAAGCACAGCAACAGCTCACACTTAATGAAAGAGGTTTCCATGGAACACCACGAAGCAGCTCAAAATACAGGTGCCAAAGAAGGAGCGGAGCAGCAGCTACGTAGAAGTATTTTGAGGAACCCTTCTGACTGTACCATTAAAACAGACTTTTTGAAGTGCTGCAGCCTTCTCTGCATTTCGTATTAATCCACCTCCTCTACATTACTAGTAGCCTCTAGATAAGTGAACTGAATAAAATTCTCTTGTTCCAATACCTGATAATCAAAATAAATAACACTGATAGAGAATAATACTGCTAAAATAATCCCCTGGGCCATGAAGCAGCATCTTCAAAGAACCAACCTGGAATGAAAATTTGAAAGCTTGGGCAAGGAATATTTAAAGGCCAATGTATAACAGGGTAGGTTATTCAGCGGCAATCAGCAATGACCTTCTGCAGGGAGTTGCTTTGAAACTGGCCAGTCAAATTCTGCTGTTCCACTTACTTTTCCACAAGTTTTTTTTCGATCCCCCAAATGAAGCATCTACATCACTTATAAGATTAACCAGACTGCTCCTCAAGTTTTGCACTTCATGTTGGAATATGTGGGTTTTGTTTTTTTGTGTTTTTTTCAGTCTTTACTATGAAGAATTTAATTACATGGGAAACCAAAAGCAAGTCTTTTGTTCGAGTTAGATGTCATACAGCATAGCAAGAGGCACTTGACAAATAGTTATCCTTATCCTTATCTGCACATACATCCAAAGCAATATCTAGCTAATCTGAACATGACTGTTTTTAAAATAGGGAATCCAGCTCTTCTGTCAGATATGTGTAAGTAATACTAATAGACTTCACTGCAATTAAAATTATCTGGGGGAACAATTCAGTTCATACACTGCTTTTACAAACTGATTTAGAGGAGGAATCAAAAAATTCAAAGTTAAATGAACTAGCACAGTTCTGCTTCTTTTAATCCTAAATTAATTACCCTTAAATGCTTAGGTACTTTAAGCCACAGTCCTTTCAAAAGAGAGAAAGAAAGAGAAAGGGAAAGGGATAGAAAGAGGGAGAGAGAACAGATTTTGGAGAAGATTCTGTTTTAGGGAAGGTGTACACTGTGTTGTTTGCTACCTTGAGCTTGTGTGAGGGGAAACACAGTTACAGATATGAAAAATCCTACTCCCTGACCACTAATAACTGAATTATTCATGGTTATTTCAGCAAGTACATCTCTTTTTCCAAAACTTCAGTCACACTGACACACACAGACATCGAGAGGCAAATGCCTCCTATGGGAAGTATGGATTTCATGGTCCTTTAAGCATGTTTAGGCTTTCTAACAAAGCCCTTTATTATTACAGTTTCAGCTTAGCCTCATTATTGACTGCTTGGAAAATTGGAAGGTCCTCTTGATGGGGTCTTTTGACAAGGTTACCAATCCACTTTACAGAAGTGACCTCATAAAAACAGCTGCAGGGATTTTATTTTTCTTGCAGTTTGTACTGTAGCCACAGTACAAACAAGAAGTAGCAGAATTCCTTCCCCTGAAAATGATACCTTCATGAATACCTGTGCTTATTACTTCCCATTACGCATATTTGGTAAAAAGTCAGCCAATAACAGCTGGGCTGCTCTGCTGGCAAAAATTCTAGAAAAGCCACCTCCCAAAACAGTATTTTGCAGGTATGAAACATAGGAATAAATACAAAAAAGTGTTTGGTCTTGCAAGTATCCGTCTTCCCAACCTTCACAGGAAAACCAGCACTGCAGAACCAGGACCTTACATGCCTGAGCTCCCTGAAAACTCCCTGGAGTCACAGGCTCTTCACCTCCTCCTTTACTTCCGGGGATGTGAACCTCCAGTGCCTCACATCTGTACAGGCTTTGCACTTGTTCGAACTCAACTTGAGATGCAGCACAGTCCATTTGCTTTGGACAGATGTAAATGGCTTCCCAAATATTGTGAAATTCCCAAATGCTGACAAATGATTCAGCATTTGAAAATGGAGGAATTCTTATAGGCAGCTATTGGATTAAATTTTCATATGGACACACGTGCACACATGATGAAAATTATTTGGGAGCCAAGGTAGTGCATGCTCAGGGGATTCAAGCACAGCATTTTCAGTTCTCTTTTGCAGAATTCTAGCAGTCTTAGTCCCACTGATTTCTTACAAAAGACTTGTTAGGCGCCCCAATCTCTAAGTCACCTTTGTAAATGAGATATGAGTGATTTTTAAGACTTTAGACATTACCAGCAACTTCTGGACAATGTGAATACAAGCATACTGTAAAAATATAAAAGGATAACAATATTTTGTTGTCATTCTAACTCTTTGACATGCTGTGTTTTAAAGCGAAAGGAAATAGTGTTCCAGTATAACTTAGCCACCTTCAGGTATTTCATATTATTATCTCAAACATGAACAACTTTATAATAAATACTATGGAAAATACCATTGAGATATCACCTTATTAAATTAATGCTTCATACAAAATACTTTAATTTAAATAAAATTAAATAATATGTTATAATTGTAGAAGAAGATGCCTTGGGACAGAACATGCTTTAACTATAATTCTTCAATAAAGCTTGTATTTTTATAATGCACTAGTGTAGCAAACTTAAATCAGAAGCCTAATTTTGCATTCTATCATCTCACTGTTTCACTGAACATTTTTAGAGGCAAGGCATTAGACTAATTCCACCCTCTCAAAGTCTCTCTTAAAAGGTTTTAATCTATAATAACAAAGTGATTCAATATACATCACATATGTACAGCTTGTATGAACTAATTCATTCCACTCTATTGAATACTTTGGCAATTGGTAGAAACTCAGCTAGACGACCCTTTCAGAAGAATGCAACTGCTACAGTCCTTTTGGTGGGTCTGACTTGTGTTTGGAGATCAAACCGAATGTAGATAACATAAAGAGACTGACTCTCTTATTTTCTCATTTAAAAAGGGACAATAATAGGTTTTTTATGAGGCCTTGCTGATTGCCAAGAACTTGGATGACACACAGTGATGCATTACAAGAAAATGAGATTTAAAAAAAATCAAAATTTAGGTGAAGTTAAGCTATTTAAAATTAAAACACATTAAAAATTTGTCATCTGGAATAGTTTTCTAAATCTTGTCCATTTGTCTACACTGCTTAACCTTGTCCATGTCTAAAATCACAGGTGTTAGCTAGGTTGTCAGATGAATGTACTTCTTAAGGCAGGACACAACTTCTGCATATGTCTTTGTGATTTGGACAGATTTATGCCTGAATTTTCTACAAAGCCCTGGAGGAATCTGAAAAATTATTTGCTGTCCAGAGCATAACTAACTGCATTGGATTGCATAACAGTAATGGGTCTGCCATCCACTTTCTGTTTAGAAGTCCTATTCTTGGAATAATGATACCAGAAGAAGAGAATTCTTAATTTTTAAACTCTTCAGCATTCTTAAGGCTTTTGTGAAATTGCTTTCAAAAAGTGTGCTCCTGCAGTATAAACTTCCAAAACCAATTCCAGCTCAAACCTACTTTCACAGATGAGCTTCTTCTAAAACCCCCTATACCATAAAGTAGTATCCAAAATGTCAAATCTTTAGGAAAGTTGAACAGTCTCTGAGTTTCCTTGGCTCTTCCTTTGATGTCATGAAACCTACAGTAAGTTTGTACATGTACGCATCAGGCACAAGGATTTAGTTGCTTAAATACAGCATCTTAAATATAACATTTCAAATATTCTGTGGTACATTAGATGGCTCCTCCGAAGACCAGAATGGAATAGATCTCCAATACTTTTTCTACCAACACCATGGGACTGGCCTAGCCTGGGGTATCTGAAGTTCTTGGACACCTGCCTTTAAGAACTTGAACCTCATCTGAGTTATGGTCCCTTCTAATCTGTCAGTATCAGATGAGCTGTTGTGAAATCTTTCAAACATGTAGGTCTCCCTAAAGAACTAAATAAATTTCTCTTTCATTGAATTAACATAAAAATCTTAATCAAAAAGGATTTTTAAATTTTTACAGAGCTTCTCAGTAGGAGCACGTAGCACTTGTTCATAGAGAAATAGGTTTAAGGAACAACCCTGTCTCCCTCGTGTTCATCTGGTTTTAATTCAAAATGTTGCTCCACTATTACTTGAAACTCACCTGAAACACAGAGTAGAAGGAAAAGGGATAACACTGTATTAGCATACTTCTAAAAATGAAAATGTTTCAGAAAAGGTTTGGTGTTTTCTCCAGTTAAACTTACATGCTTGAAAAGATTTTTTTCCTAGCAGACTTAAATCAGGAAAATTCCTTTGGAAACTGCTGCTTTATGCCTATGTAAAAGTAGAACTGCAGCACTTGACATATAAATAGAATTCATTATCATAAGTGCAGACACAATACAGTAATAGATATATATACAGATGATCGCTAAGAGATAAATGTTTCTATGCATGTGTGTGATAATCCATGAATAAATGTATTTATGATACATATGTATATATTTCATATTTAGAGACATGGATTAAAAGAGAATGGACTAGCTTCAGGAACTTACATGAGTACGTACATACAAAATACTTACATCAATTACAAAAAAAATAAGAAAATGAAAATAAATTATACTTCTTATCTTTACCTAGCATTTAATATTTTCCATTTTTCTCTGAAAAACTTCCAAGCAAGATCCCTTCCATGTGGATTTCGAGCTACATGGATTATCACATCAATTGCATCCTGATCCAGAACAACTTCTGAGTTGAGAGACAAATTCAAAAGCCTAGCGGAAGAAATAAGGAAAAAAAATCCTACTTAGTTTCACCAACACATAGTCTAACAACAGGACCTCTGAAAACTCTCAGAAGATAAATAATCACTGCCAAATGCTTTAAGTCTCCAAGTGAGTTCAGTGGTTTATTTCTATGATTCCAAAGACCAGACACATTAATGAATCAGAAAAATATTAATGTAAAAGGATTTCAGAACTCTACATGTGCATTTTTATGAAATCAATAAGATCAGACTGGTCAATACATTTAAGTAAAGGATATGCTAACAAAAAATAACAGCAATTACTGTCATATTTCAAACATTTCCAAGGAACATAGGACAATATGAAAGTGAAAAGACATGTGTCAATTTTCCTATGCATTAATGCAAAAACATCAGGCAGTTGAAACAGACAGTAAGCCTGTGCTTGAAAAGTAAAGCTCTTTCATTTAGACCAAAGCACAAGTGATGATCCATAAATGCTGAAGTGACTATTGGCAATAGTTGGATGCAGATATATAAAATTTTTGTACCTGTTAAGCAAGTTTCTATCATCACTGCAAGTTAAGGCTTCTAATAATATTTTCTTCTCAGACACTGCTGTGATAGAATGAAATTTCATCCAAATGAACTCCCATACATCTTCATCCATCAGTGAAACTCCTGTGCAGTAGACAATGTCTCTCACATTGAGTGGGATTCTACAAAAGAAATCAGTAATAGCAGTGTAGTAAATAAGCAGCCTCCTGATATTGGAAACAAAGGAAGAACACCATCACATACATCTATGAGGCTCCAAAATTAAAGCGCAAGAGTAATTTTTTTTTTTTTTGAAAATTACATTTGCATCTCTTTACTGCCACCAAATCTTCCAGGTTATCCTAATGGTTAACACATGCTTGCCATTCTTTTCATAACACTGTCACATTGTCAGGAGACTATAAATCATGGTCATCCAGTTCATCAAGACATAACGTACCACATAACCTGCAGGACAGGTAACATAAACTCTCCAAATTAGCATGGGATCTCACCACTCAGTTGCTGGGCTCTAAACCAAACCTCCTCTTCTTGTCCTTAGTACTGAGGTTTTAGAATGGAAGCTCATCAGCAAAACTCCCCCCTGCTTGTGGCTCTAAAGTGCTCCACCTTTCACATAGTAACATACAAGTATAAGGAAGAATGTGCTGAGACAATGCTACTTAAAAATGGTGTTTTCAAAAGTAAAGAAAACAGAAAGATCTGTTTATTTTTTCAGCATATTAATACTAGTGCAAAACCAGCTATGCCATAGGATGGCTGTGAACTGTGATTACTGCTCAAGTAATGTAAACTTAGACTACAGTTAAATGAAAGCTTCTTGAAGTCTAACTCAGATCTAGTATAGGATGTGCATATGTACCAATTTCTTTTAAAAAGATCCCAGTTGGGCTTTCCATTTTCTACCTGCTTATGTTTCCTATACAAGCATAGAAGCTGAAACGTTTGTGAGATAAAGAGTATTCCTGCAGATAAAGCTAGACAGTTCCCAGAGGAATATATTTCTGATTTGCAGGAAAAAATACCCTCTTTTTGTTGGTAAAAATTATGCCAAAGTGCAGTTCTCTATTTACTAATAGCTTGGCCGACACACCTCTGGAACTTCATATGCAAGACCTATTTAGAGAATCTAGAAGTACATACAGCTGCTCTCAGTGTCCAGGCAGTAATATAGTGGGACAAAGAATGAAATTATCTCTGTAAAATTTTATATCAAATCTTACACAACACAGAAAGAAAAGGTTACATCAAGACCTTAATTATAAGACTTTCACCAAAGGCTTATACCATAGACTGGGCTATCCCACTCAAGAATCAAAGAGATTCTTTTACTCCCATCTATTTATTCTCCAGAAAAAAAACATTTTCTTCCACTGAAATCTTCTATTGTCAGGCTCTGTGACGAGTGTTTTTGTAAAAAAAACTATAGCTGATCTCTTCCACCATGTTCAAGTCCCTGGAAAATGAAACTTGTGTGGCTTTTTATAATTTCAAAATTTTGTTTCCCCTTCAGTACTTCAGGGGGAAGTACACCAGGTAGGAAACTACAGATTGATGACTGTGAAGGGTTAAAAACTGTTGTTGCTTCTATGAGGTTAGCTGGTCCCAACAGCTATGATGGTTTCTTGAGAAAAAAGAATAAAAGGAATATGTAGCTAAACTAAAGCAAAAGTGGAGAAAAAAGTGCACTCCTACTGGCTGAAGAACTTTGGGGAATTAATGCCTACTGCTTTTTTGTTATGCTTTTTTCTGAGTTGTACAAAAGTCCTGAGGTTGAGGCTTTTATTCGTGTTTTCTAGCGAGTGTAGTCATCAGCTCACATGGTGTTTCTGCAGGTTTAGATGCAGACAGTCACAGGAATTCTGCTTCTGCTGAGCTTACACAGCTCAGGACAGCGCTGCTTCTTGGAGCATTTTTAGCAAAGTCCCCTGCTAGCAGAGCCACAGAGGCCTGTCTTGACTAGAGCTGAGGTATTTTGCATTTGATGCAGACAAATACAGACATTAATTCAGGAGACAACTCTCCAAAGCAAAACTGAAAGGGTAGGCAAGAGAAATGTAAACCATCTTAAAGTTGCTAGGAATATGAAACTTTTAACTATGCTCAATATACACCAGCAATAGAGCCTTAGAAAGAAAAATCAGAGGTGCAATGTCTCAACTCTGTCATCAGCTGCTACCATTTAGCCAGTGTACATTCGTGCTACAGTGCAGATCCTGGCCTGCTTCAAGATCTTATTGTTTCCTTTCCTCTCACCATCAAATTGTTGCATGAGAACATGCCCATCCCGAGCCACGCCAGGCAATCAGCATTGCTGTGGTTATGACCACATAGCTCAAGCAATTCTTACATGTCTTCAACAGATAGATGGGTCCTCCAAAAAATGCAGGTTCCACAGTTCCTCCCCCTTCATGCTTCTTTCCATCTTCTTAGATTTTTTTCTTTGATCTTCTGATGCCCTAAAAGGCTTGACTCACACTGAAAAAAGTTAGCAACTTATCTGTCCAGGCCCAGTTGTTCTTGGCTTATGTGTGGTCTATGCAGCTGCTTCTGTGGTCCCTTATAGAACTGCTATGCCAAGACCAAGGAAAAAGAAAATTCTTAAAGCTGACCAGATCTGTTAAAAGAGTGTTTAAATGTACACAGGCAGGGAAGAAGAAAAGTTATCATTTTCACCAGCTTTTCCATACTACAGAGTTTTGAGTCACAAAAATTGAGTTATCATTAGTAAAATGTGAGTTTGGTTGACATTTGCAGAATTATCCATGCGAGTTAGGCGACGAATTTCCATTTCACTGTAATGGAATTTGTACTTCTTACTTCAAACTCTATCACTAATCCCTTGTTGGGATATTTCAAATGTTAATGAATATCAACAGTTTATTTTCCCCCTATTTAACCTTTCTTTCAAAAAGTGCATGCAAAGGAAACTGCATATAACTGAGACTATCCCAGAAAATTAAGACTACATATTTAAACAGAAGAAATCAAGAAATCAAGACATACTAAAATTAATGGAGCAGATATTTATGTGCTGTCTTTGTGTTGGCTTATATTAATTCAGAATGAGGCCTGAAGTTTTCTAAATAACTAAAAGTTTTCCAAATAACTGCAGTTCTCTCAAAACTTCAGGTCAGCTATTGCCGTAACATAAATAAGCAGCCACATACACATAAACTGCGTACAACATGAAAGTGATATTAATTATCATTGTGCCTTGATTTTCTGATCCACTAGGTTATTTGTCTTTAAAGCACAACTTCCTTATCAGCTTATGTGTTTTTTTGCTTTTAATTTGGGATTTAACACACTGACAACAGCTACAACACCACAGACTAAATCAAAAGGAGTAAGGGATGCTATCCTGACCGTGGGACCAAACAACTCAAGCTGTTGCCCCAAATCTGTCTTATATGATAACTGAATATGAAGAACAACTGAACCCAGTCAAGCCTTATTTCAATGAAGGAAGGACTTTATATCTTGACACACAAGCAGTAAATCATTTTTTTAGAAGCACATGTAGTTCTTGTTGAGTTTTGCTGGCAGAAATATTATCTTTGGCTTACTGCAAGCGATACAACTCAGCCAACAGACATTCTAAGGAACTATAAGGCACCTGGAAAAGGTAATTCTTTTCTGGTTGATTGCCCCATTAGTTCAGGTAGGAACTGTGTGCTCGAAGGACTACCACTCTGTGTTTGGGTAGTAGAGTCAGCAGCAGAGATGCCTAGAAGTGGATGTCTAACCCCGGAAAGGTCAGCATTCCTCACTCGTGAGGTTTATATTTTTGAAATTTACAGTCAAACATATCAATTCAATAGGCTTTCCCAGCTACTCCATCTTTTACGTTCTAAGTGCCAATACTAGTGATTTTAGCAGCACTGCAGTCAGTAACCACAGGATCATTTGCCTCCTCTAAGAAGGAGGGAGGACTTAAGGTAAGTGATGGTACTGATCTCATGCCCATGGCCTAGATCTCACCATGTTTCTTGCTAAGAAACCACCTTCTTGCTATCACCACCAAATCGGTAATAGCATACTCGCAGTGATGCAGCAGATCTATTCAATATCATCCAACCAATTGCTCCAGGGAAGGTTTTAGTTCCCTATAAGCTAAGTCATTAGGACAACATGAAAAAAATCAGCCCCTACAAACCAAGACATCAAAACAAATACTGATCTTAAAAGGCTTAGGTTCAGAAACTACAAAACCTACAGCTATGAAAAGCTACAAATTAAGCATGTTAAGAGGCTTGTAATCAGGACTACAGACAAGGGGTTCCTTCTTGTGGAAATGAAAATTGTTTATGAAAATGCAAAAAAAGTCACTTCTCTTTAACTGCTGCCTCAACAGAGAGTCGTCTAATTTAATTTCTTCCATTTATGGGGATTTTTCTCTGTCTTTCCTCCAGTCATTACAGGCCTGTATTTCATCATTGTCTAAACATGTGAAGTCTCCCCATTCTATAGATTTTTTTAATTTTATAGCTTAATGGAAAATGTTGTTCTAAAATTGCAGTTCCAATGCACCAGACCAGCAGGTGTAATGTTTGCCCCCTGTATTAAGCGAATCAAGTGGATAAAATTACCATTGTTTCAGTACTGCTTAGATTGTAATACGGCAGAATGTATTCCCTTGTTATATTAAACCTCATCGGGGCCTTCAAGGTTGCTCTCATTCTTAAAGAGCTAATATGATTGATGGATACTTCAGAAGAATAAACATAAAGATTAACTTTTGAAAGCATTACTTTAAATGGCTTTTATTTGAATACTGATACAATTTATTTAACTTCATTTTTCTTGCTTAAGAGATATGATGGTGAGAATGAAATATTTAGCTAGCAAAGCTCATGTTTAAAAATTAAACACTTTGGGAAAAAAGTTAAAAATTAAACAGTCAAAAAAAAATTAATTAAAATCGTGCTGTGCCTTTATAGGGATTTTTTTTTCAAGAGTGAATAATAAAACTCTACAATGAGCTAAGAATAATCTTCTAAGTTATAATTAATTGGTACATACTTGCTCCTATTTAAAGTATGTTCTAACAATTGGAAGATACACTTATAAAATTGGACCATAATTATTTATCTTCTGGGCAAATTGTGTTCTAATTTTTTAAAATGCAATTGCACACAGTTTAGACAGTTCTTTGATT